TCCATTGTGCTATCTGCTCTTGCTTTGACTACTTGGACTTCAGTGTGATTTTGCAATCTGGATTTCTGTGCTTCGTCCATATTCATGTTCCTTGCATTTTGGTATCGGAGCTGGTTTGATTCGCCACTTACCTTGGTGCGCTGACGTTATACAGAGTTGGTGCGTTGACGATGCTTCTTCGCAGTTGGTTCTTGTGACGTCAGGCCATATTAGGCGCACAGCCTCGGTAGAGAGGTGTGCGCCGGAAGGCTAAGACGACATTGATTGCCGTGGTGACAGGCGGAATGTATGGTTGGTGATGAGAGCATGCTGATGTGGCATTCGGCTGAGGTGGCACTGCATTGCGTTGTGGGTGGTACCGAGGCCAAGACCGGTCATCAAATGCACACTCAACTCAATTGGTGAGAAATCTGTGGTTGGGGGCAGCTATCTCCAGGTACGTTGTTCCCTTACCTTATCTACTATCTCAATCTCTTCTTACCGCGAGAAAGTGAGTCCAACTTGAGAGTCCTCTCTTTTGGTGAGGTGTCGTGAGGCGCTACCTTGAGAGACGACAATCTTCCCGGAAGCATTTGGAAGGAGAAAGGGCGGTGCCTCTGAAGGGCCCAGAGTCGAAGCACTGGGTCACGGTCACCATGCCAATCCAATGGGAGTAGGTCACGCATGCGATGGCTGCTTGTCCATTTTGGCACTATGCTGCGCTATAGAAGTCCTGTCGGGTGTGCCAGCCTTTTATGAGACACTTACCAGACCATCTATAAACATTTCTGGTTGGGGACTCGGATTGATTCTGGCTGTGATCGTCGTCCTGACTACGACGTTAAATAATTCATGAGGAGATGGGGGCGCTCCTAAAATTCCTCCTGATCAGCCAGATCAACCGGGTAGGAAGGCTCGTTCCGTACGAGGGTAAATAAGAGTGGACTGGCTGGCTTGCTCGGCAACGACTTAGGCACAGGGGTGGGCCGACATTGCACACGAAGACACCGCTGCTCAATGATGCTTACCGGTATGTTGGATTGAGGGGAGGGTAGGTTCTAATTGATGCTCAACTGGAAACACAACCATACCCACTGATCATACATCTGCAACATGGTCTTGATTTATTATTCATTAGTTGGTTGACAACTGCTAATACCTCACAGACAGATTAGAGTAGGACTGTGGTATACTACCATAGCCAGTTCTATCTAATGCTGCTGTAAGGGAACCAATCAAGATACACCTAGACTATGTTGACAGTCTATTGTGAATGTTGTAGGCTGCCACTTGATCGGTAAAAGTAGGGGACCTGCCGGACACAATTATTTTTAGAAAATTAGGTGCCGGTCAGACACATGCTGTGGTAGGACTCCGCTAGGGGGTTCTAGTGCAGACAGTGTTTGCCTAATTGATGAGTGGGTCAGACACCGATGAGGGTAGAGTTGACAATCGGAGACTAACACGTTCGAGGGCAAATAGGGTCCCACACGTGTTTCAGGCCTTACAACCGGAAGACGAAAGACGGCTTCGTGCCGAACGAAGAGCCCGTGCTCTTGCAGTAGCATTGGCAGCAGCAAACGAAGCAGCTAGAGAGCAGGCAACAACAGCCAGAGCAGCAGCAATGGCTAATGGCGCAGGCTCTGCTGCGTCCTCGTCTGGGACCAATGGGACCCAGGTGGGAATCCCTCAGGGCACTTCCGGTTCAATGAGTTCTGGTCAGTCTATCAGTCAAATGGCGGGCTCGCAGTTAAGCCCGTTGACCCCACGCGGCAGGGAGCTCTTAGAGCTCCAACAGGTCGAAAGGATCCACGAGCGGTTAGAGAGGGAACTGAAGCAAGCAACCGATAGAGAAAGAGAGATTAAAAATAGAGCAGCAAGGCTTGATATGTTAGAGGAAGACAAGGCTGCGTTAGAGGGTTTGGATGAGTCAGCAATGTCTGACCAACTTAAAATATTGAAGAACAATATGTTGTCGTTGCATGCGCACGTGGACAGCAGATTGGACTTTATGCAGAACTCTCTAGACCAAATCTTGGACCTTTTGCAAAGGCCCGGATTTAGGCCAGCAGCACAGTCGCCGTTGCCGTTAACGGCGATGTCAGGCCCCTTTCCGATACAAGCTGGCACACAACCAAGTGGTACGTCTGCAGCAGTTGCACAGACTGTTGCTTCTTCTTCTCAGGTCCAGCGGTGATAGCTACACAACCACCGCAACAACTTGTTCCTCAACTGGGACAGTCGCAAGGTCCATGGAACCCTAAGACCCCTATGAAACCGCCTCTTGCCTTCTCAGGAGAGAAGAAGGACGAGGAACTCAGCACATGGTTGAGAACGGTTCCAGTATGGGTAAAGGCGAAGAGGACTTTGCAGGAGGAGGAAGTGATTACTGATGCATCTTACCTTGAGGGTAAGGCAACCAAATGGCTGGATAGTTTGGTTTCAAAGGCCAGGTACGGATGACGCATGGCGGACTGGGCTAAGACCATTACGTTAGACCAGTTCCTAGAAATGGTAGAAGCTCATTGGCACAATCCACAACAGGCACAAATTGTCACTGATGTGATAAACAGACTAGACCAAAGAAAGTTCAAGTTAGTCAGGGAGCTTACGACTACCGTAGAAAGCCTCATCGTTGTTCTTGGCATAAACTACGATGACCAGTTCTTGTTGACCACATATGTGAAATGTCTCCCAGACAATCTCAGGAATTTGCTGGCCAGCGAGGATTGCCTTGAGTATCACTCATTTGAGACTTTATCTAGGAAAGCCTTGGACTTAGAGGCCACCCTAGGAAGTGCTCAACCTTCTCAAAATGACGCGAGGAAAAAGAAGAGTCCACAGGAATGGAAGAAGAAGGGGGCTAAATTGATGATGGTTGAGTCCGATGGGACTCAGACAGAGATCGACGAGCTCACCGACCTGTTGGACGTTTCAGAGTACGATGGCGAGGAGATTGCTGAGGGTAGCACCCTCGCCGCAGTAGTAAAGGCTAAGGCTGGTGGCCGAGTGAAGGGCCATCAAAAGAGTCAAGGGAAGGCCGCCTCCAATCAGACCAAAGTTGCTGATTGGGTCAAGGCAGGTCTTGATCAAGAAGTGTGGCGGGACCRCCGAGTGCGTGGTGCTTGTATTAACTGTGGTGAATACGGACACACCCAGTACAAGTGCCGGAACGCAAAGGTCACGCAGAAGATATCTCCTAAGATGGGGGCATCTTCTTCCCAGGCTTCTAGCTCGGGAAACACTTGAGGCCGGTGGAAGTTTTAGTTGTTTCTACTCATGGTGAAGTGGGTCAGATACCCTCCCCACTTCATGAGATGGCCATAGCTAATGACTCTTTAGTCACCCCGCAAACTCATCTAGACCAAACTATGCTCTGTATGTTGGATGTGTCTGAAGCCTTAGAAGATCTAGAAAGTGAGTGGTCAAACAAGGACCCTCGTGAATCTTGGGTGGCGTTAAGGAAAGGTCCTAGAGGGGAACATTTCGTGGTGGAAGTTGATGTAGGAGGCCGCAAATGTGGTGCCTTCATAGACATTGGCTCCACACGGAATTACATAAGTCACGACTATTTGGAAAGGTTGCACCTACAGGACCGGGTACAACACCTTAGTAGACCCGTAGCATCTACTTTGGCCAATAAGGAGCGCATGATTGTCACAGACTATATCAAGGACGTAGTCTGTACCTTCTCCTATGGAGGAGGGGAACTTAATCATAAGATTTCGTTCCTTATAAGCGAGGACTTACCATTCGACATGTTGTTAGGCATGTACTACCTTGAGGTTGCCAAGCCCCAGTTTGACTGGGACAAGAAGGTGCTAAAACGTAAGTTGCCTGATGGCAGAACAGTCAGATTGACTAAGTTCAAAGCCAGTAGCATAATAGATACCTATGGCTGCTTGTGTGCATCAGCGTTCTATAATTATTACAAACAGAACCAAGAGGAGGGTATGTACCTTGTGTATGTCTCTGAGAAAGGGGAGGCCGTTAAAACACCCAGAGATAGAACGCTTCGTTGCTAAGTTCCCTGATCTGTTCACTGAGCCTACAGGAGTCGTAGAGAGGGAGATCGTCCATGCCATAGAAATCATTCCAGGGAGTAAAACCCCAAAGGGAAGGATCTATAGGATGGCTCCGGCCGAGTTGGATGAACTTCGGCGACAACTGAAAAAGCTGACAGAGAAGGGATGGATCCGGCCGAGTACTTCTCCCTATGGATCGCCAGTACGATTTGTACCAAAGAAGGGGGGTACATTGAGGATCTGCATTGACTATAGAGGCCTCAATGCCATCACAGTGAAAAACGCAGAGCCTCTACCTCGCATAGACGACCTATTGGATAGGGTGCAGGGATGTAAGTACTATAGTAAGATAGACTTAAAGTCCAGCTACCATCAGATCGCAATAAGACCGAGGATCAGGACAAGACTGCTTTTCAAACCAGATACGGTCTGTATGAGTTTGTAGTGATGCCCTTTGGCCTTTGCAATGCGCCGGGTACATTCCAGCACGCTATGAATAGGATCTTTCATGACCACTTAGATAAGTTTGTCGTTGTCTACTTGGACGATATTCTTATCTTCAGTAAGTTTGTCGAAGAGTATGCACAACACGTTGAGACTGTACTCTCACTCTTGCGACAACACAAGTATAAGGTCAACCTAGAGAAATGTGAGTTCGAACGTACTAAGATCTTATATTTGGGTCATGAAGTATCCTCGGAAGGGATTAGGCCGGAAGATGCGAAGGTGGCTAGTACAAGGGACTGGCCACGACCTCAGACTGTTACTGAGGTCAGATCTTTCTTAGGAATGTGCGGCTATTATAGGAAGTTTGTGAAAAATTATTCCACTGTCGCCTCTCCTTTGACAGATCTAACTCAACTTGACACTCCGCAGGACTGGAGTGATGAGTGCGAGGCTGCTTTCAAACGATTGAAGCATGCACTCATGAATCATGAGGTTCTCATGGTTCCCGATCCTCAAAAGCCATTCATGGTGACCACTGGCGCAAGCCAATACGACATTGGCACAGTGCTGGCTCAGCAGGATGGGAAGAAGTTGAGACCGATTGAGTACATGAGCAAGAAAATGTCATCGAAGAAACTGGCAAAGTCCACCTACGAAAGGGAACTATATGCTCTTTACAAAGCCCTTGTCCATTGGAGGCATTTCTTGTTGGGACGATTTTTCTACTTGAGAACTGACCATCAGACCTACAAATGGACCAAGACGCAACCGGCTCTCTCTGATGCACTCAAGCGATGGATTGAGGTCATAGATCAGTATGACTTCAAGCTAGAGTATCTGAAGGGAGAGTACAACAAGGTTGCAGATGCGCTGTCCCGTAGAGCAGACTACCTAGGGGCGCTAGTTTTTGAGTTTGGTGTATCTCAGGAAGTAACTCAATCGTTGGTGGGAACCTATCAAGAAGACCCTGCCATGATGGACATCATGCGCACACTTCAGGCAAAAGACAAGGCCACGGAAAGTGAGTTTGTGATGGTGGATGGGTTAATCTTTCTTGATAAGGCCGGGTGCAAAAGGTTAGTAGTTCCATCGAGTGAGAGTTTGCGTAGTTTATTTCTAGGGGAATGTCACGACGCAACTGGACACTTCGGCTACAAAAAGACGAGTGTCAATCTAGTACAACGATTCTGGTGGCCTGGAATGCTAGATGACGCAAATAAGTATGTAGAGACTTGTCAGGTCTGTCAACGGGACAAGCCGCGAACTCAAGCACCGCTTGGGTTGCTGAAGCCCTTACCTATCCCCGCTGGTCCAGGACAGAGTGTTTCCATGGATTTCATGGACACCCTGGTGACCAGTAAGAGTGGCAAGAGGCACATCTTCGTCATCATCGATCGATTCACCAAGTACGCTAGACTAGTTGCCATGCCAGAGACCGCAAGAACTGACCATGTCATCAAGTTGTTTTTGGACAACTGGGTGCGTGACTTTGGACTACCAAAGTCAATCGTTAGTGACAGAGATGTCCGATTCACAAGTGAGCTGTGGAAGAAGACTGCTGAGCAAATGGGCAGTCAACTTCAAATGACTTCAGGGAATCATCCCGAAGCCAATGGACAAGCCGAACAGATGAACCGAGTTGTACAACACTTGCTGAGGCATTACATCAAGCCCAGCCAGGATGACTGGGATGAGAAGTTGCCTCTCATCACCAGCCTGTACAACAACGCTGTACACAGCAGTACCAGCGTCAGTCCTAATCACCTGTACTTGGGATGGAAGCCTAGATCAGCTCTAGACTTCCTCCTATCTGAAAACCAATCCTCTGCAACTCCCGGCACACTTGAGTATGGTGTTCAGTATGAGAAGTTGCTGCAGCAAGCTGTCGAGCACATCAAGAAAGCTCAGCAAACAATGATTGCTTCTGAGAACAAGCATCGACGACAGTCCTCATTTCAGGTAGGGGAACRKGTCTGGGTCAAGGCTAGTGAGCTAGGACAGGAATTCGGGATCTCTCGTAAACTAATGCCTCAGTATTTTGGTCCCTGGGAAGTCCTGGATGTAGTGGGGGATGAGATGGATGGTCCTACCTATGTTATCCGTATCCCTGGACACCTACGCACTCACCTTGTCTTTCATGCCTCAAAGCTTGCACCTTTCGCTGAGACAGATCAATTCCCTTCAAGGAGATCGATGCTGCCCCCAACCATGGATGGTCAAGTGGACATCGACGACATTGTGGATCACAGAGATCTGCCTGTTCAAAAGCCATTGGGTAGAGGAAGACCTCCTAAACCCAAGCGGGAGTATCGTGTCAGATTCACGCATCATACAGACCCAAAGGAAGATCGATGGTTCACCAGAGAGGAACTGATTGACACAGCTCCTCAAGTGGTGGCAGAATATGAGAGAATGTTAAAAGGGAAGGCACCTGCGAAGTAAGCATCTCAGCGGACTTTCGAAGCTAAGGGGGATGGAATGTGAGGACTGAGCCCTCAAGAAGGGGCCTTGCCATGATGTACATGTTCTGGGCTAAGGCCCTAGCAAGCCTCGTGCCCGCCCTAAGTGAAGGTGGGCCAGCAAATCAACAAGAGCCCTTTGTGCAAACATTTCACGAAGTGGGGTCCATACAGTTGCAGCACGCCAGTTGGTTGGTGTGCACCGAGTATCGGAGCTCTGCAAATGCAGAAATCCCAGGGCCCCGAGTTGGTTAGGCCCTGGGCACATAAACGTGAGGCCGACAATGCATGCTGGATATAGAGGCCGAAAATGCCAATGGAAAACCAGTCCACTATCTGAATCTGGCCGCAGGCCTTGATGAAAGAGGCGCAACTGCATCTCCTGGGCCCCCAACCGCATCGGGTCTGGGTTCAGGTACTGGGGCCCAGGCGCAGGCTGAAGGGAGGCCGCCCACACGCAACACTGGCATATAGGCAAGCAGGGCGAGTGGGCAGGGATCTTGGCCATTGCGAGCAAGGCYGGCACGCTGCTGCGATGCATGTGTGCTGCGCTGCGCTAGGCTGAGCAGAGGCAGGCAAGCGCTAGCGGTAGAGCGCTGCCTGGGCGCAGGGCGCTGGCGGCCATAGCCGGGCTGCCTGAGGGCGCAGAGGAGGAAGGGCGAAGGTGGTTCTTCGGAGKTGAAGGGCGCTGTGTGGGRTAACAAGGGAGAGTGTGGGTGATGAGGGAGACGTACCTGGTGGAGGTGGGAGGTYGGCATTGGTGTTGACATCATCACTCGCTGGTAGTCAAGTTGWCTGGTTGCTTTCATACTGTAGTTGTAGTGTTAGGCTGTAGAGTAGGTAGGGCGCCTGGCGCCATTCAAGAGAGAGAGCTACATTGGGTTATGCTGTTGGTGTTGCCCTGTTGGGCTTGGACATTGACTCACGATTCTTCTGTGTCGTTCTCAAAGGGATGGTTACTCGGTTCCATTGTGCTATCTGCTCTTGCTTTGACTACTTGGACTTCAGTGTGATTTTGCAATCTGGATTTCTGTGCTTCGTCCATATTCATGTTCCTTGCGGAAGCTCGATAATTTTTTTTGCAACAATACTGCCAACTTCAAAGCTGCAGTGACATACTTGACATGGCATATGCTTGCTAGGGGCCATTCGCCCAGTATCCTGTTGAACTGCTTATGTGTCTGGCCGGCAGCACCGAGTGCCCGTTCGTGTCACCCAGTTTACGAACTGGTTTTGCCGTATGGTTGGCTGGTCACTTGCCCACCTGCTGCTTATTAGTCGATTTGCTAACGTGGATGCTTCCCTGACAGAAACTCAGCCTGCCATAGCAGACAACATGAATGTTACCGCTGCAGGGGTACCCTACCATTGTGGCTCCTGCTGAATGTGTGCCCCAACAGATTGAAGAACGAGTGCAGCCCAATCCTGTAGGTGACCTACAAGAAAGAGAGCCAAGCGGTCGAGCTGAGCAGAGGGCTGATGCCTTGCCACTCTCTTCCCCTCCCCCTGTCGATTTCCTGCCACCACCACCGACCTCCTCAACGGCATCTCCTGCTGCACCATCCCCTCTACCGACTACGTCCCTTCTTCTTGTTTCATCTTCCTCCTCCCCTGCATCATCGTTGTCATCATCAAAATATTCCTGGTCAGATAGGCCGTCTCAGTTGCCTCTCCAGTGCAGATGTTACATCACACTCCTAGCGGGAGTCATAGATCATCTCGCAACCTCAAGGAGCAACGTCATCGCTCCTAACAATTTTACAGTTCTGCAGGCCTCCGTGTGCACTAGACACAGGGTGCACTCACCTGTGCAGTATTTGCAAGACTAGCGGCAACCATGAATGCAAGTGCGGCTGGTCAGCCTCTGCGCCCTGCATCTGACTATCCCACTTCTACTTCACCACGGTGTGATTGCTCCCCACCTGTAAATGACGATGATACACCGTCTGATAATTTGATGGGACCCCCGGTTGACGGTGGATCTATATCCGGAATACTTGCCAGAGCCAGTGGAGTTATCAAGGCCACATGTGCCTGGCATAGACTGCCGAGACTTCGATAAATCTCCGCCTGGTGTACAATCTGCGGAGCCAAATGACCTCATCGACAGTCTTGTCCTGAAGCGATGCCATTGTGCGTACTAAGCCATTAATGTTGTTTCTTCTCCATGACAATTGCACAACCTTTACACTGTTCCTGACTCTGCAGACATTGTCTATGGAGAGAAGTGGAGCACCACACCGTTTGCCCAAAAGATGACGGTACTGCAGCTGGAATGAATCTAGAAGTGTTGTTGATGGCATGTATGGGAACGCTACCGCACTCCAGTTCGCTCTGTGGAATTATGTGTCTGACATGGACCCGAGCAATTGCGTGTACATCCTGCATCACGTGGGTCAGTGATGTCACCTTTGTGCATAATTCATGGACTTTGTGAGATGATACACTTGACGAGTCCTATTACCCCTTACTATCACCCAGTGACGGAGTCCCACTTGGTCTGGCTCGTCAATTGGGAATAGTATGCTGATGCACGGTCACAAGCTCTGCCAATCTCACGGACCCTGCCCCCTCCCCTCTACCTGATCAGGCTCCGTCGCCTGCCTGTGCAGATCAGATGGATTCTGCCACTGACGGTGAGAGGGGCTCATCCGAACATCGTTGCTGCACCACACCATCGTGTGTGCATGCAACCACAGTATTGTTAGCATGTGCATGGCATAATCTGTGTCCCGGTCACTATGAAGGGATGGTCATTACCATCCTCTAATCATACTGTGCATACAACCACAGTATGGTTAGCATGTGCATTGCATAATCTCTGTGCCAACTGTGACCCATCTTTGTCTTGCATCCATCCCATCATCCCCTCATTAGTTGCCTGATATGTCATTGTGGCCTTGACACACTTGAATACCTACGAGCATGAACCTGCTTTCTTGCTGGCATGTCAGCAACATCCTATACGTTGTCAATGCTTTCAGGAAGCTGTCATGGAGAGTATGTCTGTACTGCATGGGCTATCCCCGATGCCATCACCCGGCACATCCTCTACATTCACACTAGAGTTCCTCCAGCTGAGCACGCGTTTGAACCTTCTCCATCCTTGCTAGATGAGGGTGAGACACAGCAGCCTGAAATGGAGAACAGACTTGCACATGAACCACCTGCAGTGTGCCGCACTGAAAGGTTGTCGCTGACTCGCCGCGAGGGCAAGTAGTTGCTAACCCGATCCTGCAAGCTAAAAACCCTTACTTTGGATCAGGCTCCGTCATCACCCGTCCATAGACAGGAAATATCAGCTGCCGAACCTCGAGAAACGTTCCCGATGTCGCACCGTGATGACCCACCTGATGTTTGGCTAGTATGTCATCGTCATTTTTTGTGTCGTGAGGATTATGAGGGTATAGCCCGTGCACGTTTTTGTTTCACAGTGATTCACACCTACGATGACAATCAAAGTTGTACTTATCCATGACAATCTGACATGGCATGTCCTATCTATAATAGACGGGCTGGAACGGTAGTGCCTATACAATTGCAGTCAAAGTTCCTCTGTGTTCCTAGCATGCAGGAGCCACATTGCCTGTGACATCCTTCTGTGCCACACCATCTGACGCAGCATTTGCAATTGCGAGAATTGGATAACCGACCCTGTCCGGTCTGCAGAGGTGGCTACTTAGTACTTACCATAGCCACCACTTGCTCCTCAGCTCATTTTTCCCTGCAACCCAGCCTCTGATTGGCTTTTTGTTCCAGTCTCTATCAGTCAGCTCGGCCACTGAGTACTGAGGACCCAATGGGGTTCCTCTTTCCTCTGCTCCCTCTTCCCTTCCCTCGTATGAGCATCACTAAGGGAACAGACAAAGTATACGGGCAGGTGTGCTGACAAGCAAACTGGTGTGTACGGATTCGCTCCTCTAGTACACAGCCTTGGTGGATCTTGCACCTCACGTTTTAAAAATATTACAAACATATCACATATACTCGAGTTGATAGAGGATTATAAGGCTGTTTTGGTTTTGGATCTACTCATCTGGTTGGGAAGGGGGTCGTTCTAGTGACAGTATGAAACACACACATACATTCCTGATGAGTCAGTGACAGAACTGTCTGTCACCACCATCCTGTTTTCGTGAGTTTATTAAGTGAATACATAGTAACACACAGGCACGGCATCAATCGAACTAATTCCCTCTCTCTCTCTCTCTCTCTCTCTCTCTCTCTCTCTCTCTCTCTCTCTCTCTCTCTCTCTCTCTCT